GCCGATTTGGTTCGATGGTTGGTGGACGCGATTCATTTGTTCACCCCGCGTGGTTATTCACCATCTAATGGACGCATTGAACGAGTACACCGGTATCTTAATGAATACCTCCGTACCCATCACACCGGCAAGGGCATGTCCTACACTACTTTCTGCGACCTCATTCAGCATGCGGTCTACTCATGGGATGTTACTAAGCGCCGAGGCGTCAGTCCCCTCTCTTTTGTCTACACCTTCCCTGCTTCTATGGATATACATGTACCTCGACAGTGTCGTCGTGGATTTTCCTACGTCGAGTCCTGTGTCGTCGATCCTCCCCCGGATGAGACGATTTCCGCCGGGACCCGAGTATTAGTACGTTGCCCTACTCAAGTCCCCAAACTCGACCTTCGCTGGTATACCGCTATCGTCATTCGCCAATTGAGTCCCAGTGTATTCATAACCAAGGCTGACGTCACTGGACACGAGACTTCTACTCATAGCCGGGATATCAAGCTCTTCCAGACTGACGACCCTCTACCCGACACTTTTGCCCATGCTCGTTCGGACTACCATGGCTGCAAACGCGATAGGAGCTCTCTCCCAAGGAAGGGGAAACGGAGTCTAGCGGAGTGACGCACATATAAGTGTCTGATAGATATGAGCTGTGGCGTACGCATGTGCATTCTAGTTCTGTGCACACTGCTGCCGCATTTATCAGTCCCGTCTCGACTGATACCGTATCAGCAGTCCTTATGGTCTTGTGTTCATAGTAGGCATTCCCGAGTGAGTCACAACAGACAGTGACCCCTTGTCAGAGGCCAGAGAGGCCTTGCCGAGAGCAGATATATCGAAGAGTGTATGATGGAATTATCGGTGGGCGGGCGATGTCTTCTAGCAGCTCAGTAAGAGTTGGCGTTCTCGATGGCTGGTAAGTGGGCGACTGAAGTGGTAAGTGGGGTTGACTGTCTTCCACTACACGCTCAATGAGAAGAGTCGTCACGCACGCTACCGCCCGAGAACATACCGAGGAAAAAGGTACAGCCCTGTGCCCAGCATGCTGGCTGGAGAACTAGTGAGCTCGGAGGAGTCGGCCGAGGATACCGGGGTCTGGGTATGAATCGCTTGTCCAAAAGACCAATGATGGCCATGGCATAGCGCTCACACCTAACATCACGGAATGCATCACTTTTTAGGGATGCCTTGATATGACGCAGGCTGCGACAGCTTCAGCTTGGATGCGGTTGGGAGCGTCGTCAAACTTATTCAACTTCTCTAGGATGGCAACACGCCACTGGAGATAGTTCTCAGATTAGGTCCCGTCGAAGACGAGCTCCTTGGCGGGCGGATCACCAACGACAGCCTGGATCTTCTTTCTCAGGTTGTCATAGGGAATGAATATAGAATCGTCATGACTCTGCATAGATGTCATTGGAGTAGCAGTAGGCGGTGAAGGTGCTCTTTGGGAATTTGATCTGGATGCGAGGAAGCCATGACTTGTAAATGTGATGCCATCAGTGATCGGGGCAGTTTGAGCAGTACAAGCAAGTGCCATCTGAGCATGTGATGCTCTTTTGAATGCTGTCACGATAGAGAATGTGATGAGCGTATCTTGGGAGTATCTTGGAATATCCGAAACGGCGACCAGCGGAGCGGTATAGTACATGACACGCCACTATTGTGACGTTTGTACACTGCTCACATCTATTGTTCACACCTT